ATTTCATAATTAATTATGAAATTATTCTAAGATTTCATATTAAATGTAATTTAAATGTAAAAATTATTCTTAGATTTCATATTAATGTAATCTATGCAACTCGTTCTGATTTATACGACTGTTTTATCGACTGAAAGCTTTTCAAACCCAAACACTTAATATTTGGGAAAAAAAGTGTATATCTTATATGGGTACCTGTTGAATTATTAAAGGAGTTATAAATATGTGCTGATATGTAGAAAGGCATTAAGGAGGAAACAAAGGTAATTCTTCACTTACTTCTTCAAAAATATATACATAAAAAAAGGAATGACTGTGTAAATGCTATAATTTATAGTATATTGCAATCGTAATAACAATATATGTATAGTTACATAGATAGAACTATATGCACACACATGTAGAGGAAAGCACTATACAGAGGTGCATGCATACGTGTATTTATAAGCATATGCATACACCGATTTATACACTTTGAAAATAAAGGGAGATTCAAAAAGTGTGTGAAAATTAAATTAAATTAAATTATACTGAAAATTTCCCATGAACTTTTTAGAGCCCTATCATGTTTATATATTAAAGAAAGTACATATGGAGACACAGTGACAGATACTTACTAGATAAAACTATACAGTGCATAGGATTGGTTTACTGAGCTTAAGGGGCAATATAGACAACTGCACAATCTAGCTCATCAAGATAATGTTCTAGGTCCTAGTTTGGTGAGTATCATCTTGGGTCTTATGGGCCAAAGAGCAGACATTGGCGATTCAACCATTGGTCTATACTTGTCTGCAGCAAATAAATAATCAAACTAAAAACTCAAACAAAAAGTTAATGTACAGTGTTAATATCTAGATCCTCAATTTATTTGGTCTACTGTCCTCTTTCCAGGAAAAAAAGAAGAAGAAGAAGAAGAAGGAGCAGCAGCAGCAGCAGCAAACCTGAGTATCCCCTGGCAATTGAAAATGTTTGCACTATCCCCATATTAAAGTGTAGGTATCTGCTTGCACACCGTGTGCCACAGGAACGCCTCTCTGCGGTTGCTATCATCACGTTAGGAAGCCCTCATGTACATGAACCACAGCGTCACCACCTTCAGATCAAAAGAATTAGATGGTGTAGTGCTATCCAACCACTCTGACTGACAATAAAGTGCCCTTGTAGATAGAATGGGAGAAAAATATAGAACAAAATTTAAATTCCTAGAAGTAGGCCAGACGGAAAGGATCAGAAGACACTTGAGGAAACCCTGAGACTCTTGCCATGGGATACTCTTTAAATCTGGAACTCAAATGACTCTTGGAGACAACCGTGCAGCCAAGGACAGACTGCCTTATGAAATATACCACATCATTGGTGATTGCTGCACTACTCTAAATAATAATCTAAATAAAAACAAATTGTAACCATTTACCCTAAACAGAAGATGAGAAAGGGGGTGGTTGTGTGATTAGGGAAGCTAGATTAATGGAAATATAAAAACAGAAAAGTAGAAATAAAAAGGAGAATGACAACATAATGTGGAAAATACAACCAATGTCAAAGAATAGTGTGCTTAGAAACTGTTAAATGAGAGCCTAACTTTCTGTGTAAATTTTAATCCCAAACACAAGAAATTATTTTTTAAAGTAAGCTATTGAATATTTTATAGATCCCAACGGTGTAATCTGCAATCCAATCACAGAGAAGAAGCAAAAGAGACCAGCGTTTTCTACCACTGTGCATGAAATCATCCTGAGTGGTAGATACAAAGACAGATAAAAAAGTAATAGTAATGACACTATAAAATATTATTAGTATAATTAACATGATGAGGAGCAAATACATATGTATTATATTTAAGCAAAGGTGTCCTCTGTCACCAAGGAATACATTTTGATAGAGACAGTCTATCCACGAGTGATATCATTTCAAACAGAACCATGGGATCTTAAACTTTCTGCCCCCTCAGACTTGCCCCTTACTAAAACCACCATGATATGAAGTTCCACCACGTTTTTAATTAGATTTTTATTCTTATCCTTATTTTTTAAATTCAATATATTTGGGAGGAGTAGCTACAATTTAAACGTTCTTGAGAGACCTCATTAATTAGATATCTTTCTGTCTAGAC